GGGAAGGGGAAAGGGGGAAGGGGGAAGGAGAGGGGGAGTTGTGAGGAAAGAACCAAGGAATACTCCTACGTAGCCTGGCTTACCCTAATTTCATTTTTAATTAATACCATAATTAAGTATTTTTCTATTAGTTCGAATACAATTTCAAGCGCAATTTTAAGTCTAAGTGTGTCGTTACCGCCGTCCATTACTTGCAAAAATTCAAGTTCGTGGTAGCTCAAAAAATAGTTTTTTTTTCTTTTCTGGCTTAAAATTCTAACCTGAGCTGAAATCATACATGTCCCGTGAAAGAGCATTCTGCAATTGAGACTTAAAGCAGGAAAAGCAGTGAAAAGTCTTATTTGCACAATAATCCTAATAGATACGCTTAAAAATGGAAGACGAAGATGAAGAAAGTTATCCACATAAAAACCCTATGAAGATATACTTTACTAAAATTAATAACTTTTAATGTATGCTTTATATATTGATATTGGCTAAAACTAATGCTTGATAGACACGTTATAGTTGTTTAAAGCTTAGGATAAGTAAACATTTCAACTAAACGCCTTAATTTAAGTAGCTCATTCAAGTTTAAAGTTGTAGAAAAGTGCTCGTTTTATTTCTAATAGTAATTATACTGAAATGGAGAATTTCTGCTTGAACGTTGCTTATAGTTAAAGTAATTAACTTTCAGCAAAAGTATCATTCTATCTTCAACGTCAAAACTCATAAATTATTATTTCAAAAAATAGTAGTGTTTACGAGTCTTTTCATAGCTAGACAATAAACTATTCCAAGTCTTGGAAATATCGCTTTTAAATATTGACACGCAGATAAAGGAAGTGGAAATGTTAATTAGTACAATAAAGGTCAAATTTTTATTTGATAAAATAAAAAAAATTGTAATTCGTAAAGAGGGACTCATTATATTTTAATACTATGTAAATATTTCATTTTTCATTTTTAAGAACATATGTAACACATTCATTCTAAATAATGCCTGAATTTTTCTTTGTATGCCATTTAATGTCTTAAAAGTCTTCATATTTGTCAACTAATTATGCAAATCTCTGCTCTGAAATGAAAAATTTGCTGTGATTAACAAGTCACTTTTGAATAGCGGAAAACATCCTAAATATTTAAGTATTTATTAATGGCAGGGGTTTTGATGGTTACCATTAGACCTTTAGTTGACTTCAGACTTCACAGAGGGGAAGGAACATCAAAATGAAAAAAGGTCGAGGGGGGGGGGACAGAAGTGTTTCAAAGACAAAGGTAGAAAAGGTAGAAAAAAGGTGAGGTGTGTACTGTGGAAGAAGTCTAATATGACATACAGTGGGGTGATGGTGGTTTGAAATCAGAAGTCAACTGTCGGTTAATAGACTTTGCCGTATGAGTATACGTTGCCCAGGATGTACCACGTGGAGGTAAGTTTATCGCACACCCCAGATATCAGCTTGGGCTCAGCCGGGATTTGAACCCGGGAAATCTCTCACCTAAAGCAAGAAATACACCCCTGACCACTGATTCATTTTGAACCGAATGATGCTAATATATAAATTCCCCTCCAACCCAATAGGGAATTTGAAAGATAATACAGAGGTGCAAATTAAAACTCGTTTGTTGAATCACAATTAATGAACACTACCTATTGAATGACAAGAAATGTGGAATTCCATTGACCAACCTATTCTATTTTGACCCATTCATTCATTAATTTTCCTCTTATCTTTATTCAATCAAGTCCTCAAATGCTCAAGAGATTTCCGAAATTGTAAAATTGCAATTCTCTTTGCTTTACTAGTTCACGGTAATAGGAGTTATTGATTGGCTTTTTTACCCTGCAATGTATACGAACGTACATCTGTTAAAATGCAATTATGCAACTAAGGCAGTCATGTGCCTTTTTCTACCCTGTTTGCTGAATGTTGTTTTCTTGAATTTAGAAAAGATGTGCGATTGCCAGTTCAACTACAGCGAGCAATGGCTGCAGAAGCTGAGGCAGCGAGAGAAGCTCGCGCTAAGGTATGCGAAATGACATACAAAAAAGCCTTTTTTCCTTGATATTAACATTCACACACACGCGCACACGCACACACCTCTCTTGCACACATAATTTGTGCTTCTTTCACCAAAAATTAGAGCCAATTTATCGTGAATGTAGTCAGCCTTTTTTGATTTATTTCTCAATTACCTGAAACTTTCACCTGTCTGTAGGCGTGATTTATTGTTGCCTATTCTGAGCCATTTTCTCGTGAATATCTTCTGTGTTCGACGTCTATCTCCAACATTTTCCTTAGAGAGTGAAGAAAAACCTGTCGTGAAAGTATAACACTGTCATTGCTCGTATGGGAAGTTGGAGGTTACACCTTATGTTCATGAATATATGAGAAGCATATAAAAATTTGGTCTTCAGAGCAGAAGTACCGTAATCCATTTTATTGATCTATTTTAAAATTTCACTCCCTTTGGATATAATAGATCAATGTATTGCCGCTAAAATCAATTTTTGCCACACCTGTAATAGATATTTGGATCTTAGTCAATAATACATCACCAACGAATGGAAGTTTGAGCTTCCGTTAGTGAATGTAAATTAAATTTATGAATACACTTGTTAATGCATCATTATCTAATTAAACCGTTCATTTACTTTTCGTCATTCTGCAATTGGTTCATAAGTGTGCCTTCTATAGCTCTCGATGAAAATGCTATCATTGCCCTGTAATAAAGTCAAATAGTTAAAGGTGATAAGAGAAAATTTCAACTGAAACTCCGCATAGGTCAAAGGCCTAAACAATCTTAACGCAGGGTGAAATTTGTAATTTCTAGCTTAAATTAAGAAGTCTTTTCATTAATAAATCGAAATGAATATGAATGAACCGTGTTGGAGGTGTGCGAATGTGTCAAGAGTCTTACTTCATAGTGGCTGATGTGATCCCATATCAGATTAATCTGGATTAGTTAATTCCGAATTTAAAAAAAAACTGTTAACGGACTTCAAGTGGCAACTTCTGTGTTATTTATTGAAAAATGTCTTTAAATATTCCTCTTATTACATACTTGAAGTTTGACATTTGTTTTCAATTTTTGAACGGAAATTTGGATAGGAAATACGTAACTTTAGTGAACCCCTTTTGTGTAAAAAATATTTTTTCGCTTTAATAATTTGCCCAATAAGTTTATTTCAAATCACTTACTTATAAATGACAATTTTTGGAGTAATTTAGGTAGCAAATTACGTATGTAAAGCGAAAAGGTCTAGTGTATAAATAAAGTGAATAAATTTATCTAAAATCTTAGTGCAAACAATGTTATCCTTGAAAATGCATTTGCATTTAATAGGTCAAAATTAACGAAAGCAATATTCGGAGATTATGTTAAACGAAATGCTTACATTCCATGCTTAAATGATTAAAAATTAATGGTCGGAACGAATTGAATAACTAATCATCTGTCACCTCCCGATTTTGATTTATTTTCAAGGTGCGTGCTGGTATTGAGTTCAGTTTAGATTTATTTATTTATTTATTTTCATGAAGAGAGAGATAATGTGCAGAAGTAATGATAAAGTGTAAAGTTAGAGGTTGAAGAGTGTCCTGGATAATTCAACCTCGATTGCATGTTTCAACCTTCAACGTCTTGCTCATTAAAATATTCTTTGATATAAATTTTGTGAATTAGATTCTCATTTCTACTTGCTGTCAAAGTTCTTTGCATTAAAAGGTTATAAGTAGGTGTATAATTGAAACAACCCAAGAATTTCGTTTTCACAGTCCAAATTAGTTTTAAGCGACTCAAAACTTTTGTAAATTCAAATAATTTTGAAGGCAATACTTATTCCTCAGTCATGGTTACTGTGATTTAGATAATAAAAAAACGCACTTTACACCTATGGTATACTTTTGAAAGTCTGATTAAATTAAAAATATGTTTTGAGTAGAAGCAAGCATTCAGTGTTTAAAGTGCAGCCTACGTTTAGCTTCATGAAATATTATCTAATTAATTAGAAGCAAATTACCCATTATAACCATGTGAAAGTCGCTAGGCAATTATAAATCGAATTAAAAAAATATAATGAGCATTGGTACACTTTGAAAAGGTAAAACAATTTGGAATTGTAAATAATACTGCTAAACAAGCGTAACTGCTAGATTTTGAAAATTGGATAAAAAATCACCGAGCTTTTATCCCTCCCGAATTGTAGGTGATAGCAGCAAGAGGGGAGCAAAAAGCTTCCCAAGCACTCAAAGAGGCAGCTGACGTGATAAATGAGTCACCTTTTGCAATCCAACTTCGTTATCTGCAGACATTGAGCACAATCTCGGCTGAGAAGAACTCCACGATAATCTTCCCTCTCCCAGTTGACATGCTGACACAATTCATGCATAGAAAGCCCTCATCAAGTTCCATCTCAGCCATTCATTCCTCTACCGCATCAGCTGTTGAATTAGGAGGAAGTGTAGATGGCGGTGTAGTTGGAGTCGGTGTGAGCAATTCCTCAACAAAGGAACGTCAAGGATTCACAATCCCTCCACCTACACGAAGACTTCAAGTAGTTGGTGGGACACCTTCGACACCACCTTCAGCAACCAATGAAGCATTTGCTGTCTAGAGACTCCCAGTTCCACTTTGCATATCATTCTAAATCGTTCCTCGCCTCCTTTTTTTACATAGTAAACACACCCATCTTATTTATGACTCGATGAGCATCACGAGCACCCCCGTATCACAAAATTTCACCAAGTAACTCTTACTCTCTCTCTCTCTCTCTTTCACTCACTAATCTACCCACCCACCCACCATTGACATATGTATCGCACACAGAGGTTGAAGTCATTTATGAACTTGCTTATCCATTCTACTTGCGTTTGTGCTTATAGCCGTTCGTGATTGTGTGATAAAATAAATAGAAATTAGCTGTCTATGTAACTACACCACTCTACTGTAACATAAATAAAATGGTAACTTATCATCCACTCAGCCTCCGTATTATTTGCTTGTGGGTCATTATTCAAATCGTCGACATAATTTTAAACAAATGAGACATCGTTCTCTGACAAAATTTTTATCGCTCCAATATAAATACTGTTGCACAAAAAATGATCTATGACCCTTTATTGTTAGATTAGTAATGCAAATATTTCCGCAACAATTTTATCAATTGAAATTTTGAATTTTTGGATATGGAGTTAGGAATTTTTATCTCTATTCACTGGATACCTTAGTGAAAATCGATAATAGAATTTCTGCCTTCAAAGGTACCTCGATGGTAACCCCCAATCTACATTTCAATGGATATCAACATTGGAAATGTGGGGTGCGGGATAGACTCACCTACAGGTGGTGCACCCTGGGCAACGTATACTCATACGGCAAAAAAGTCTATTTTTCGGCAGTTGGCTTCTTACTTCAAACTACCATGACCCCATTGTATGTCATTTTCGACCTCTTCCAAAGTACTAACCCTACCTTTTCTCTGCTTTTGTATCTGTTTATCTCTTTTACATCTGTGAATCATTATTCTGTTTCCCCTCTCGATTTTTAGTCACTTTAATGTACCTCCCTCTGTGAAGTCCGAAGTCAGCTAAAGGGCTAATGATAGGTGAATCGCTCTTCTTTCCTCCCTATCATTTCTTCGCACTTTAATGCTCCTACCTTCTGTGAAGCCCGAAGTCAGCTAAATGGCTAATGATAGCTGTCCTGTGAAGCCCGAAGTCAACTAAAGGGCTAATGATAACTACCAATCTCGATTTTTAGTCACTTTAATGTACCTCCCTCTGTGAAGTCCGAAGTCAGCTAAAGGGCTAATGATAACTATCAATACGCCTGCCATTGGAAATAAATAAACTTTTGAAATGAATTTCATTTATATTAATAATGAGTAATGAATTCAATAAGGTCTTTATTAAGTAATAAAAAAAAGTAAAATAAAAGATCCTTAAGATTCATTTCGATGTAACGAATCATTAAAATCGGATCTGAAAATCGTAAAGTGTGAGAGTAATGAAGATGTGCCAGTCTCCTGATCTTGTCAATGACCTCTTCCACAATACATGTTTGCTTCGCACTTGGACCAATGGAACTAGTGCCTCACCAAAATGCTTGTGGTTCTAGCTTATCGTACTTTATTAATTGCAAAGTATTTGAAATTTTGGCACTTAAAGTTGTATTTTGGTCTTCACATCCGCGGATCCGCCATCAAATCACTTACCATGTGTATCGTCAATTTTGCGTATTTTAAAAAATGATTTTGTATTTTGCTCGTCATAAAAATGTATTTTTGAAGACGTATACGTGATGTGTGAATGTAAACACAATTTCACATTCGTCTTTATGCATGAATTAGAGTTCCAGACCACTAAGCACACCAACTTCTCTCGTCACTTCTTTGTTCTTCTCTTCTAAAGAAAAATTTCCTATTATCATTTATCCCAATTTCAATCTGGCAGAAAAGACGTAGCATGCGTAAAAAAATTTATTATTTTTCTATATGCAAATATTGCAATTTCTCTGAAAAATCTTAGCTGGTTTCAACGAAGACAGAGCGAAGGAACCACACACACTTAGACTACCACAATTTAGAAGGCAACAAATAAAGTAGATTTGGTTTTTTTTTGGAAAAATGGGGTCAAGAAAAAACAAAGATATTCTAATATTACTTTATGCAAATCCATTCAAGTGTTCCCAAATTGTCGAAATTACCAATCATCAACAGGAATTAACTCTGCAAATTGTCGGACAAAGCATCTGAGATAGCTTTTTCATCCAAACAAGAAAACTTCATATTTCACTTTCCTCTTCAATTCGCATCTTCAATTTCTAAAGATTTGCACATTTTAAACATTATTTGATCATTTATTTTGATTTAGATTTAATTGATTTGAATGAGAGTTTCAACAGTGTTCTAACCCATATAAGATAATACAGAGTCCAAAATGAACCAAGAAGTATAAAGCAAAATTATTTTAGTTTGATTATTTGCCGTTTTGAGGACTATCTACAGCAAGGTTTTTGCACATTTGTCTTTTTGACTGCCAAATCTGATTTATTAAATGTGCAAGGTGCCTGTCTCTACAAGCGGTAAGTGTGCCACTATATAGCGAATAATAAGGCTGCACTCTAAACTTGTAAAAAATGTTAGTTTCCATTTTATCATACCTCTAAACCATTGAAAAATATGCCCAAAGCGTTTGTTTCTAACTATTTAATTGCATTTATTGACGTTAAATAAATTAGGGATTTTTATGGAGTAGACAGTGGCTTATCAGATGTCACTGTGTATAGAAGAATGATTAATTTTAATTAATTGAAATCGAATTAGCGTAGGCTGCAATAGCAATTCGATAGACAATTTTTCTATTTACTTCGAAGATAAATGTATTCTGAATAACCGTTTTGGTAAATTGAAATGAGCTACGTTGTTAATGGCACCCTTATTTTGATCATTTAATTGCTGGCATTAAGATATAACGATTGTATCTTAAAGCTGAAAAGATTTAAGTAGCAGTATTAAATGTTACATTGAATAAGCACAGTTTTGTGAGACCTGTTTAGTTCAAGAGCTAAGTAACACTTTTTTCAGCCCATGCAATTTTATACATTAGCTTGATTCCAAGATTAGAGGAGAATTGTGGCATATGTGGTCATGATGTGGTACAGGAGAAATGAAAAGTAACTAAATTTTACGCTGACTAATTTTTTATTGCATTCAAAATATATGAAGAATTTGTTCAATTTGGTAACTGGAAGCTTTTAGATGTATGTTAAGGGGTGTGCGATAGACTTACCTCCATGTGGTGCACCCTGGGCAACGTATACTCATACGGAAAAGTCTATTAACCGGCAGTTGACTTCTGACTTCAAACTACCATCACCCCACTGTATGTCATATTCGACCTCTTCCACAGTACTCACCTCATCTTTTTTCTACCTTTTAACCTTTGTCTTTGAAACACTTCTGTCCCCCCCTCCCCTCTCGACTTTTTTCACTTTGACGTTCCTCCTCCTCTCTGTGAAGCCTGAAGTCAACCTAAGGGTTAATGACAACCATCAAGACGTCTGCCATTTGATATGAATAGATGTATGTTAATAGAAAGGAAGTCTTCTGTTGAACAAGATATGGTTAATACTTATTTACGTTGAAGTAAGCATCAATGCTTTATTTCTCTATCAATTCATACTCATTCTCAAATCAGTAATGGTTTAGATCCTTAAAATCATGAAATTGGCAGAACCTTGTTGTTATACTTACACTACTAACAAAAAACCGAATAATGCATACGAATTTACTTATTTATTTAAACTTTATCAATTTCTGGTATGTTTAGGACTTTACCATAGCATTAAATGTTAATTAAATTATTTAGTCAGAAGTTAAGATTATAATGTGATCTTTAATGCAATGCACGCAATAAGCATTAGATGCTCTCATAACCCTTTTAAATTGTGTGAAAAATTTGTTTACGAAATGCTTGAAAAGATTCTTTCGAATAAGGTATCAATGGTGAATTGATGGAAAGCACAAAAAAATTTCAAAAAAATTTTCCTACTGAAGGCAGTAGAAAGATGAATTATTATTGGATACGTAATCCTTCTGCGTAAATTAGGGTTGTTTATCACATAATTAATTCGGTTTGGGGGCGGGGAAAGACATTTTTACCCAATTTTTTTAACAAAATTAGCGGTTTATGCACATTTGTTGCAATGCTAATTAGAAAATGTGTGTGTGTGTGTATTTGACACATGTTTTGAAAGTTTCCAAAATTAGCACAAAAAGCCTCTCAGTGATTCGCGCATTTATCTTCGATGGAGCAAATTGCATCTTTGCGCGCTGCGTAATACCCCACTACCAACAGTTGCAGCAATATCTGGGCAGTCATGTCTAATTAGCTGCCTAATTGCTCAATTTCTGATTTGTCAAATTAATTTTTTAGGTTAAAGAAAGCACGCGCCACTTAATGTGAAAAGATGCTAATTCTTTTGTTATATTTCTAGAGCCCATTTCTTTGCAATGTCCAATAAATATAGAAAACGATATCGCTCTTAACCTTGAGCCGTAAAAATGATATTTGTTACGCTGACACAGAAATATATATATATATATATATATATATATATATTGATATTACAAAATTAATGAAAAAAGGGAATAAGCTCCACACTCATTTTCAGTAAAGGCCAATCGTTTTGCTTAATTTTGCAAATTTCAGATCACGGGATTCACAGCGGCAGGCAAAATGATGATATCCATCTACCCAATGCAATCTTTTCGAATGGATATAAAAAACTATCTCAAATAGTTCTCGGGCATTTAAATCTAGTTTTCCTTAATGCTAATTACAGCGAAGAGGTTTATGTTAGCCTACGTGCTTCTGCTAAGCTTAGAGTAGTTAGTGGGGTGTGCGATAGACTTACCTCCACTTGGTGCACCCTGGGCAACGTATACTCATACGGCAAAAAAGTCTATTAACTGGCAGTTGACTTCTCACTTCAAACCACCACGACCCCACTGTATGTCATGTTTGACTACTTCCACAGTACTCACCTTACCTTTTCTCTGCCTTTGTGTCAGTCTCTTTTACATCTTTGAAACACTCTTCTGTTCCCCCCCCCCCTCCTCTCGAATTTTTTTCACTTTGATATTTCTTCTCTGTGAGGCTTGAAGTCATCTAAAGGGCTAATGAAACTATCAAAATCCCTGCCATTTGATATAAATAAATAAATATTACTTTTGGAAAATACTACGATTCAAAGCTCAGACAAATGAATAATAAAAATGTCCGACTTAAATATTGCATGTCAGCCGTTGTATCCGGATCCAGTAGAAATAAAGGCCGAATTGATTTATGCGTTTTGAATGGCAAATAGAAGACACATTTGTTGTCTTCAATCCAGAGTTTATTTATGTGACTACTCCTCATAACCATGTACTTTTGAAAATTAAGGGTTATCCTGCAGAGTACCTAAGAGAGATTGCAAGCGGCAGTGGATCAGATAGTGAAGGCCGGAAGTTGTCAAAAAGTATGAGTTGCAAAGTCTGTCCTCCAGATTGTCCAAACTGCACCTCTGGAGAACCCTGTCTGGTGGAATACAACATGCATCTTCGAGGTGTCCCACTGGCAATGCAAACCTTCTCCATCACAACCGCCCTTCTCCTTGGATTTCTTACCTTCCGCCTTCGACGAACACGGGTATTTCTTATTTTGCTCAACTCACACTTTATTGGTTGTAGTTTGACCTTGGCTAACCAATAAGATTGGCAAATTTTGTTTATTGATGAGTAGGAGCAAGTTTATAATTTGTTTAAACTTGCTTGTTATTTACGACTTCACTTTGATTAAACTTTTTCTGTATTGAATTTTAGAATAACTTTGTCATAAGGATTTGCTACTTTCGAATAAATTAAGGCCTTTATACACATGTAAATTATTATTATTGTCCGATCTCTAGTTTCAGAATGAATTCATTTGCGTATGTTTCTTAACCGTATGACTGATGTATGTTCATATCGTCTCGGCTAACATCTGAGTGCATATGCCAAATGTTATCATAAGTTTCCATTAACAACGGTTTTCTCATCTTACCATTTTCCACGAATTCAGTGGGTTGGTATTTCCAGGTCAGTGGTCATATCTTGGGCCAATGTGGAAAGTTAATGTACCGCCATTTGAGGAGTATGCATTAATTATGAGGTAGGGTGATGGGGAGGTGAAGGATGGGGAGGAGGAATAGGAGGAGGAGAAAAATGGTATGGAGAGAAGTTTTAGCGAATGAGAATGAAAATGGTCTTCATAGGAAAGTGGTATAGAAGGTATTTATTCCAAATAGCAGGCGTTTTGATAGGTATCATTAGCCATTTAGCTGACTTCGGGCTTCACAGAGGGAAGGTTCATCAAAGTAGAAGAAAGTCGAGGGGTGGGGAACTGAAGAGCGATTCACAGATGCAAAAGAGGCAGACAGACACAAATTTAGAGAAAAAGGTAAGATGAGTACTGTTGAAGGGATCGAATATGACAAGCAGTCGGGCCATGGTAGTTTGAAGTCAGAAGTCAACTGCCGAATAATAGACTTTTTTGCCTTATGAGTATACGTTGCCCAGGGTGCATCACGTGGAGGTAAGTCTATCGCACACCCCGTGGTATAGAAGGTAGAAAGGAAGGTAATTGGTGAGGGGGGGGGGAGNTTGCTTAATTTTGCAAATTTCAGATCACGGGATTCACAGCGGCAGGCAAAATGATGATATCCATCTACCCAATGCAATCTTTTCGAATGGATATAAAAAACTATCTCAAATAGTTCTCGGGCATTTAAATCTAGTTTTCCTTAATGCTAATTACAGCGAAGAGGTTTATGTTAGCCTACGTGCTTCTGCTAAGCTTAGAGTAGTTAGTGGGGTGTGCGATAGACTTACCTCCACTTGGTGCACCCTGGGCAACGTATACTCATACGGCAAAAAAGTCTATTAACTGGCAGTTGACTTCTCACTTCAAACCACCACGACCCCACTGTATGTCATGTTTGACTACTTCCACAGTACTCACCTTACCTTTTCTCTGCCTTTGTGTCAGTCTCTTTTACATCTTTGAAACACTCTTCTGTTCCCCCACCCCGCCCTCTCGACGTTTTCCACTTCGATTTTCCTTCCCTCTATGAAGCCCGAAGTCAACTAAAGGACTAATGATAACCATTTAAACGTCTGCCATTTGATATAATAAAAGATGTAGTTAGTAACTTAATGTCAGCTTGATGTACTATGCAAAAAACAGCATGATTTCTCAAATGTTTCATTCATATTTGGTCTGCGTAATCTTTAATATATCGTTGGAGCATTCATAAGCCTATTGTTTTGCTCACATTGTTTTCGTGATACTCGTTTATTAATTCTGACTGTTTTGAAGAACTGTTTCATCCGCCAACCTGGCATTGTCTCCACATGTCTTCTTCACCTCAATTCAAGTGCCATCCCACTGTCAATAGGTTGACTTGTCACTTTCGAATTTGACCCACTGTTCACACGGAAAAGTGGTGAAAATTAGCTTGAAATAAAAACGGGCGTCAGGAATTCTCTTCTAAAAATTCACACTGTAATCTTTAAATTGAGATGGGTAATGAACAATAGCAATGTCCAAAATGTGTCCCTCCATTTACTGTGAAGTACAGTATGTACTAATCCATTTTATAAATAAACGAGCACGATGTCATGTGTTTAATGAGGTATTGTCATGTCTTTTGAATGTTTTTGAACACCAAATGATAATCTCAATTATTGTTGAAGGTGAAGTGGCCCATGAGTAGGACTGAGAAGAAATTGGTGCTTCTGGAAGGCATTGCATGCCAACCTCATGAAAAGAAGACTGAATTAACCCAATGTACGATGCAAAGTTGAATAAAGAATGAGCTAGATGAGGAGGTAGGTTTTCTCTTAAGTTTTCTATTTGGAATATACCCATCTGAGGTTAGCTGGTTAATTTTGCTACCCATCCAATACACATGATGAATCATCGCTTCACCGCCCTAATTACCAAAACATGATTTTTATTGACTGCACATCGGATGAACAAACGACGCTCAACAGTCGGCCTTGCTTAATATTTCTCAATTCGGTCATATTTCTATAGTCTTATTTTCTTGCCAGTTTCGCCATAGTTTACCTGCTAATCATATCATTTATGATAACCCGTTCCGTCTTTTTGGTCTTTAGGATGACCATTATTTTTTGCAAGGCTATATCACTATTCCAGACAGCTTGGGTTCCGAACATAAACCTGCTGAGGGGACTTAGTGCAAGACGGTCTGAATCCATTACCACCGCAATAACCAAGTATTAGGATCTCACACAAATAACTAGCAAGATGCTCAAGGACTGTCCAAAACAGCAACAAGTAATTCACTCCAGAGGAACACACGTATAGATATATCAATAGAGAATTTCAAACCACGAAACGATTGTTTAACAATTCTATTTTAAACCTCCATTTCCATAATGAAGTCACCCCCTTCCAATCCACAAACTCCCTCGATTGAAGACTATCCACAATTGATCTTATCACGCTACTGCTTACTAAGTATAAACATGACTAACTGTTAAAATGGTACGACCAAATTGTTACTCCATACACTGAAATTAGTGATAACGTTGATATATGGGAAAAGGAAGACTATCACTGTCATATGTTTCTTATGGCGTGGAGTCACTTCTATCCAAGCCACAACAGTAGTATTAACAGGACAAATAGAAGTTTAATTTTTTTTCTCACACCGAATTCAATTACATTTTCCTACAGATACACTTGTGGGAAAACCCAAAAATGGAAACCATTCAGACTACGGATAATTAGAATTCGCTTTAAATACTAGTTGAAAGTTGACACATTTTAAGCCGACAAGATCTATCACCTTAATTAACTTCAAAATATCCCTCCTTTATTACTTGAAATATTTCCAGTTAATTGTAAGTTGCAGGTTTAATTGATGGGTGACCTTTAGGACAGGTTAAATGGAGGAGACATTTAGCACTTTAGTACAGACATTTCAAGTAGACTCAATGTATCACCTATTAAGTTCAGGAGTTGACATTAATTCCAGATAAAGGATAGACATACCTTTTAATATGCTCTATTTGGTTGAATAACTTGTTCTATTTTCTAGTAAGAATGATGGTTATAATTAAAATTTCAAATTTACAAAATCAAATAAGTTTATTGTCTAACCAATATCATTGGGGTTGAAAGATTGGCTAATTACAAATTTTCGGATATGGGGTGAGAGATAGACTTACCTCCACATGGTGCACCCTGGGCAACGTTTACTCATACGGCAAAAAAGTCTTTATACCGGCAGTTGACTTCTAACTTCTTACTACCATCACCCCCTGTGTGTCATATTCGACCACTTACATGGTACTCATCTTACCCTATTCTCTATCTATGTGCCTCTCTGCCTGTCTGTCTCTTTTACACATGTGAATCACTCTTCTATTCCCCCTCTTGACTATTGGTGACTTTGAAGTTTTTCCCCTCTGTGAAGCCCGAAGTCAGCTAAGGAGCAAATGATAACTATCATAAAGTCTTCCATTTGATATAAATAAATATTTATCCATATGTTTTTGTCATCGCAATACATTTATATATAGATGGAGAAAATTGTTTTAAGAGACATCTACAATTAGCATACAATTGAACGAAACTGATTGTAACACTTTGATCTGCTGACCAATCATGGTCACTTTCAGAATGTTGATATTAATCGAAGAGAGTTGTAGCCGCCTGCAATTTCTTATTATGTTGGGTTGTTTTATTGAAATCGTCAGTCTGTCAAATAGACATTTAGCTTTATTTAAACACGCTGGAGTGTCGGCCAACACTTCAATACCCTATTCTAGTTTACTCCGAGAATTGACCCTTGCCACATCTACCTACCACTCCCAGTGACCGCTACAGTTCAAGCATCAGATCCAAGTGTGTGATATGAAATAAGCAAAGATGATTTGATATCATATTTTGGAAATTCAGGCCTTTTATGTTAGTTGCTTTCTGAAAATATAAATTAACAGCTTTTTGATGAAACTAATAATTAAAAAAAACTAGAAATGGAACAGACAGTCAGGGAGTGACGAGAAATGCACGAATCCCCATGATGGTGTCTGCAAATCAGTTTCATAACGCTAGTTATTGTCTTGACTATAAATAGCCGTAATCTTTATCCGCGCCTGCCTATCCGTGCGTTAATTGGACTGGACAGTTTTCCACCCAAAATGCGAGTTTTCTATAGCTAAATGAATTATAACATGCATTGTACCAAGAAATTGTAACATTTATTAGAAAACTTGCTAGCTAATGTTCAGATGGCCTGGTTCCAAGACAATAGTTAATCAGCACGCATAAATTTTCAGTTTCAAATTCATTAGAGAATTTTGATAGCACTAAAATATTTATGTTTATATAATAATTTATCTGCTTTGTTCGAAGTATTTTCATGAATGTGATTTTTTGCTGTGTGAGTTAATATTTTATGAGAAATATACCTTTTGTGTATTCGAAATAATGAATTTTTATGTTTACAAAGCACTGTTTTGATTAAATTAATATCTTATTTAATTTATACGTAAAATAGATCGCTTAAAATTTATTACTAATCGACATAATAATGAATTATGCACATAGTCAGTGCAGCGTTTTTCATGACTTAAACACATAGGTAAATTGATAATATAGATATTCATGCGATTGGTTATAAATTTACTATATTTATTTTTAACAATTGACATAATTACCTTGTACTATTATTTGGTAGCGTAGAAATAATGACTAATTAGTGCAAAAAAAGGAGTTTTTCCCAAATTGTTTTATTAAGCGACGCAAAAAGCTGAGACGCAAGTTTTATAGCCGCCTAACCCACAGCTGACTCATCGAAATTAAAAAGAACAGGGACAGGAGATATCTGGGAGGTGGTTTTCTCTCACCCCAACCCCCACCCCCCACCCCTCACCCCCTCCCCCCACCTTTCTGGCATTTATCTTAGCTCGTTCGCTCTCTCTGCACCCCGCCCCTTCTCTAATAGGATGTAATCGCGTTTGCAGAAGTCAAATGCGAGGGATAATGTCTACCTTTGGGTTTAGTGGGCAGGAGTTATTTAAAGACAGCCTCAGCATTTATCACGCACCATGGAGTTACGTGATTTTTGAAAATAAATAGAAAATGATTTGATATTCACTTCTGTGAGTGTTACAGCATTTACACGCGTGCTGTCTTGCCAAGGTTAAATGTTATCTTCACGTAGAAGGGGGTATTATCGTATTGGCTGCCTCAAACGATAGGGGTGATTCGCATACAGGTGCAATTGAAAAAAAACATATGATGAATTAAATTTTAATAATTTATATCTGATTGACAATTAATAAAGTGGTGTAGGACACGTTTTTACCACTTACGCCTACATTGATGCGTCATTCATACTAAATTTGTGGGGCATTTTTTGTTGATCTGTATCTTCTATTTTTTTTCGGAAAAACTCTTAAGAAAATTTATATTCTACAATTTCGCTGATTTCCTCTTTGCTTAGAGTAGGTTGCAAGGAAATATGAGAAACTTTTCCATCAAAATGTGAATATATGTAAAAAGAATTTGTCTTCTCTTCTTCAATAGACTTACCTCCACGTATACTTATACGGCATAAAGTCTATTGATCGGCAGTTGACTTCTGACTTCAAATTTCTATGGCCCGACTATTTTTCATATTCGACCCCTTTCACAGTACTCATCTTACCTTTTTTATGCCTTTGTGTGCGTCTGTCTGTCTCTTTTACCTCTGTGAATCATTATTCTGTCTCCCATCTCGACTTTTTGTCACTTTGATGTTCCTTCTCTTCTTCATGAAGCCCCGAATTCAGCTCCAGGGCTAATGATAACTATCAAAACGCCTCCCATTTGATATAAATAAATCACTTCGTGATAAAAGGCTCTCTTCAAGCACCCATTTCTAGAGATTTGGCGACTTCTTATCTCTCTCTTGT